TGAATGAATCTTTTCAATCTCAATGACTCACTCATTAAAAGTGACTTGTTGCCACCTACTGGCGGTTTTAATTTCATATTTAAATCATCTTTTAATTTTTAAAATCATTTAAATATAAATAGTCATAGTTTTATGTTAAAAAACATCAAAACATTATTTATGCATTTGTAACTGCAGGTTAAAAGCATTCATGTGGCCTCTGAGCTGCATTAAACAGACTGTGTAAATGCATCTAAATGTCACTCCAAATGCAGCTTCTGTTTCCTCTGCATTGCAATGATACATTTTGTTGATACGGATTTCATTTGATTGTTAACAGCCCTATTGTGCCTTATTATTCTTATTGAATTTATTGATTAAATGTAAGAATTTTGACACAAAAGGTGATGCATACATTTTATTAGTTTAGAAAAAAATGGCTTTATAAAGGTAAAATGCCCATAAAAGGTAAAAATCAATTTAAGCTTATTGGAAAAGATCAATTCTGTCACTGCTGCGAACTGACCACCACACAGAATATGAAGAATATCAAAAGCTTTGGGAGTCAGCTGTCCATGGCAGTCCTAAATCTGCCAAGGTACCCGCAAACTCAGCAAAATATAGTCCAATTATCGTTATCGATAAAATCCCAGAAAATATCAAGATACAATTTTTTGTCAATGTCGCACACGCCTACCCTGACTGTACTTAAATTCCTCACAGTTTCATTTAAAACTGCTGGCCGTAAGCAGTATGAGTGAATGTGGTCTCTTTTTTTTTTAAGCTCTTTGGAAGAGGAGTGTCTCAGTCATCTCACACTCAAGAGCAAACCCGACTAAAGAGCTTCTTCAACATCATTAACCTTTCACAAAAGCACCTTGATTAGCACTTTCTGCCTTTTATCTCTTCAAATGAACCGTACTCTTTACTTCAATAGCTGAAAAACACGACAATATTATTGAGGACAATCACCAGCCTTCTCATTCCCACTCTCTTTGGCCCCACATATGGCACAATGTTGAGAAACATCTCCAATCTAATAGAAACAGACACAGGGCTTATATGAATAAGGTTCAGTAGCACTGCAGAAAACCCTTTCATGCATATTTCCATTAAAGCAGACAATGATATCACAGTCCAATTAAGAGAGCTCCGAGCAGCCTGATGAAAGTGCTTGTTAAACTGTGTCCCGGCGCATCATATCAGGGACCTTTCCATTAATCAGACGGCAGTGTTGTGCTGGAATTGAACCATATTTATGGCTGTAAAAGGTCATGGGTCTGCATGGATGGGTAGTTTCATTCATTTGCTCATCTTCACTGTTCCATCACTGGCAGCGCAGCGAGTGCTTGTGCTCTGGCTGTGGGTTTAACCTCTATTAGATTTGGCACCGAGAAGCGTTTCAACATGAATCTGCATGTAAAGAGGGGTCAGATGGCAGAGGGATATCAAGAACTTTAAAAGAGGTCAGCAATCACTTGAGGCCATGTCAGGAAGCGTCTAAAGTCGATACGGATCAGTGCAAGAGGCCGTAGACAATGTAAATGTCAAAGGCCCACATATGGCCTCACATAGACCAAGACTCAACAGTAAAGATGGCCCAATGCCCCGGGGGGATATTGTGAGAGAGTTTTCAGCACATTGATGGAATTCTTACATTTGTTGATAATGTGTTTTTTTATGCCTTGATGTTTTGAAAATAGAATTACTGAACTGATGTTTTCAAGACTGTTACTTTTGACAGTCAGGTCATTTTTTTTATTAATAATACCTCATCTATGTCACCCAGCTAGAAAACATTATCTTGGTGACAAATCATCAAAATTTGCCATAATACTGTAAAATCAAATTAAAGAAAAGAAAATATTTCAGTACAGATGTACAAGATCAATGAGATGTAATATTTTCAGTGGTATCGCAGCCTAACTGGCCCAAAACTCAGTGGCCCGGGTCAACCTTATTGTTGAGCTCTGAAATAGGGACAACATGGAGCAGACGGTACCACCATTTTGCATGTTTCTTTGTTGCTCTCATGTGTAAATTACAAAGCAGTCCTGTCCACTGAGAGCCACCACATACATTTAGAGCAATATAGATGTTATAGCAAATCTCTAGCTCGGTTCCCAGGTTCAAATCCAGCGTGTGTCATATCCTGATCCTGTCCCTTTCCAACCATCATTTCTCTTTTTAATGGCCTATAAAAACCCTCCATCAAAACAAGGTTGTGATAGTAATGCATAGTCCAGGATAGGGGTTTGAAATCTGATGAATTTGTAGCGTGATCAATCTTGAAGACGTTCACAATTGTAACCTTATTTTTCCTCCGTATGTAAATACGGTATATCCACACAGCTTTCAGTTGGCAGGACTGTTTGAAGTTATAAACACGTTAGAGCAATAAAAGAAACTTGCAATAAAAGAAACTTGGGTGAATGCGAAAATATAGAGCAGGATGTGCTTGACATTAAAAATAGTTATTAAAAGTGCAATAAGTGCCTTGTTTTTGTTTGCCCTGAATTAAACATGGTCTACCCTCACTTCATATTGGCTCAAAAAAGCATGTACACAACCGTTTGAGCTGTGACAGAGGCTCATCTCAATTTACAGCTACACAGATGTTTCTTACAGGCATTGTGAGAAGTGTAATGTATGCAGCCTGCGCAAACACGTCTGTGTCACGCAGTCCTCTGCAGATGAATGACACCTATCCGCCCTGCTACCTAATTATTCATAATTAATCAGCCAAGAATCAGGCCTGTCACCACACAACCCCCTCCCTCACTCACTCTCTTCTTAACGCCCACACTGCCAGCCTGCCATGCTCCGAGCATCCAGAAGAGTGTTTATCACCTGGCTATTTGTGCAAGTGACTGCACCAGCCGGACACTAAGGACACTGTTGTGACTACCGGTATATGAATAAATAGATAAATAAAACATTATATTCCAATCACATTTAAATGCTACTAATTAATGCTGCATTCCATAAAAATAAGAACTTGGGATTTCCTCATCTCCCAGTTGAAAATAACCTCTGTAACAGAGCACTAGACCATCCGACTTTAAGACAGCCTGAGAACAACTGACTTGTTCATTTGACAATTTTAAAGATGGGAATGACTAGGGGTGGGACGATACAGGTACCTCACGATTCAATTCTGTGGCGATATGTGGTCCACGATATGATAATATCACGATTCGCGATATCTACGATATTCAATATATTGGAAGAAATTTCATCAACGATATATCACGATATATGTGACTGAAAAGAAAAAGAAGGAATAAGGAAATAATCAGGCACAAAAATAATAAGGCACACGAATATACTTTTGTCTAGTTTCGCCATTTTGAACTGAAAATAGCCTATGCAACGTGACTCATGTTAATGTAATAATTAGTTTACTGTCATTGTGAGGGGAAAAGCCGTTTTCATTATGTTAGGCACAAGAATAATGCATGTGTACATATTGAGAATTAATATACCGTAAAACTTCCCGGGTTTTTATTTTCCCAAATCGTCGAACTGCACCGGCTTGTATTTGAGACAGGCGTCTATATGAGACAGGCCTTTATAATTTAGTGTTGAGATGTTGTTCATTGAGTTTAGGCGAGTCTCTAATCTCTAAAAATCTCCAAATGCTCCACGTGAAACTGCGGTCTTCCGACCTTTTACTATCGTGTCAATTGATTTTGATTAATATGCGCGAGGGAGAGAGCAAGACAGCGCTCGTGTTGTTTGAAGACGTGCGAGTGCGAGTGCGCGCGCGCGGCCGTTGCGCTCTCTATGCTCGTAAAACCCGAAGTGTCTCCACACTTTAGAGTGGAAACTAGCGGGTGGGTCTTTGATTAGTTTTTTATTTTTTCCGCCATTCTTCTCGCTTCTCTTTTTTTCTGCAATTCTCTGTTGTTGTTGTTAGTTAACTTGTGTTCTTCACCGGCCGCTGTTTGCGCCACTTTACCCCTATTTACTCGAACAGCGCCCCCGCAAACAGAATGGTAGATATGGGTAGTGACAGTGACACTGACAACGGGTAAATTAATCATTTTGTGTTGTAATAAAATATCGATATTGGGCGTTAGTGTATCGATTATTTATTGCGACAGAGAGCACAACAATATATTGCAATATCGATTTTTTTCCCACCCCTAGGAATGACTAAAGCAATCCATTGATTGATCGATCAATCCAAGTCCATTGGGTATTGTCCAGCTGGGGTCAGAGAATTTCAAGTGGCATGACTAGAATGCTACTTGAATGAAAAATCATATTAAAACAAAATGGTACAAATGTGCAGCACATGCAAAGTTTAAAATGACAGTGGAAACTTTAAGTATGGGAATATTAACAAAGCCCTAGATCTTTAAATGCATAGAAGAAAATGGTACAAATGTGCAGCACATGCAAAGTTTAAAATGACAGTGGAAACTTTAAGTATGGGAATATTAACAAAGCCCTAGATCTTTAAATGCATAGAAGAACAAATAGAAAGAGGGCATAAACCTCTTATACGATTCTTATTAAATCCATTGACTAGAGCTTTCCCAGTCTTAGGAAATACCCTTAACCATTGAAAGAATGCTATGACAAAGATATCGCTTTGCTCATTTCCCCAATGAAAGCTGTATCATACATTTGGAATTATATGAGAAATATCATGCTCATAGCCATGAGAAATGGCTCTATATATCATATGAAAAAATGTAACACTAATTTCATAAATATATTGTTTTTTAATATCGTAATCCTTATCTAGCATTTCCAAACAAATGCGTTTGGTTAATACTGATCACCGATATCACGTACAATGTGACAACCTCATGAGAGTAATAATAATTAGCTCGGAATAATGCAAACAAAGGAACTTTAATAGCCACTGATCTGAAAATATAACATGAACAGTAAAAATGGGAGGATTATTACGTAGAGCCTGGACTTTTTACACACAACCTTTGGGTTAAAGCCCACCTTGTTTATGCTAATTGTCATTATACTCTTTTTCTATGATTTAAAACACTTACTCTGCCAACTCCTCCAAGCTCCGGTACACATCATCTTCATTCAGCGCAGTGTCCTCTGATGGAAAGGGCCTGGGGAGAGAGGGAGAGAGAGAGAGAGAGAGAGAGAGAGAGAGAGAGAGAGAGAGAGAGAGAGAGAGAGAGAGAGAGAGAGAGAGAGAGAGAGAGAGAGAGAGAGAGAGAGAGAGAGAGAGAGAGAGAGAGAGAGAGAGAGAGAGAGAGAGGGGAGAGCATTAGCCACCGCACAGAGAAGGAAAGAATATCATGATTCACTCCTCAACATCCATAATTCAACAGGTGGGTTTATTCATGAACACCTACTCCATGATTGACATTTGTAACAATATGACAGATGTTTCAAAAGCACTTATCTGATTTCTGACAGAATACGGTTGGAACAGTGAAAAGGCCATGGCAGGACTGAATGACACAGGCTTTTGCAGTTTGACAGGAACACCTAAATGCAAACACTTCAGCCCCTTTCTCAATAACTGCGTGTCAGACTCCTCAGAGAGCTGACCCGCTGGGGGTTTTAAATCCAGGGCTCGCGAACATTCACCAGCCAATTAGAAAGCTGCAAATGGAGGACCGATCAATTATTTGATTAATGGCATGGCACTTCCTCTAGAGATCTCATCAAATCACTTAATCTTGCACATTATGTGGGGCAAAAGGTGCTATGTGGTATGCAAAAAACATGAGGCATGGAAAATAAAGTGAATTTGAGGCAAGCTGTGTCACTTTGGCTTTAGCGTGTATAGGGTACACCTCAAAGTCACAACATTTAATAGATGTGATTCTCACCTTTGAATTATGCACTCTTTCCATGCAACACAAAACATCATGGCAACAGAGTGTTATGGCCATATATCACCACAGATGTGATTAGCAGACAAGGACGGGATATTTCTCTTACACAGTTCAATAAACAAGCAGTTAAGCAACTTACATTTTAGACACAACATTGCCAAATCGTTTGCTTGTTTTTGCTGCCAAGAAAAAAAAAGAAGATCCAAACAAACCCACAGCAGAATTGCTGCAACATGTGTTTCTAATGATTCAATGCGTTCAATGATTCATGCATAAAGACAGTCTCTTGTTTTGTTTCTTTTTAAACAAATCAATTTGGTTGAGTGAATGACTCAATGACTCACTCATAAGAATGGTTAGCTGTTTTTTTAATAAAAGAATCAGAGTTTTTGAACAAATCGATTAAATTAATGATTTAATGACTCAATGATACAGAAAGTTATACACTTCCATTCACCAAGGTCTCCTCATTGACTGTTCCAAGATGGCGGTGCTGTTCGCATATAGTTATGCACAGGCACAGAGCATTGACATTTTCTTCAGAAAATTAAAAAATAGAGTTCAATCTCATGTTGACAGAAGGCCATCTCTTCAATCATAACTACGCTGTATTACTGTCTCTACGGAGATGTCAAAGAGCAGGGATGGAGAGAGAAAAGGAGAGAGAGAGGGAGAGAAATAGAGCTATAGGGTAGGAAAGACTCTGACCTTGAGTGATATTACTAGAGGGATTTAGCATGATCTAAGCAAACTGTCACTTGTTTTTTTTTGGTGGACTTTTTTTTTCTTGGGGTCAGATGCACTAAGAGCCCCCCTGCTTAACCAATACTGACATCGGACATCCTCACCCACACAAAAGAAGGCTAACAAACACACATGCACTCTGACAATGTGACCAACTCCTAACCTCACACCTCCCAACAACAAGACACTTGAGGATGCTATCCTTTCTGATAGACAGACAGAGAGAGAGAGAGAGAGAGAGAGAGAGAGAGAGAGAGAGAGAGAGAGAGAGAGAGAGAGAGAGAGAGAGAGAGAGAGAGAGAGAGAGAGAGAGAGAGAGAGAGAGAGAGAGAGAGAGAGAGAGAGAGAGAGAGAGAGATGCTCTCTGACAGCTAACAGAGCACACCACCATTAGCTTTAACATTAAAGCTGCTGCCAGTCAGCCCATAGACAGATACAGACCATATGGCTGTGTATATACATCAAATCGATGCACATACAATTCGTACATATAAAAATAGACATGAATGGAGTGCTTAACTGCGGGTGTTGCGAAAAACCTATCGACTCTAAAACACTTGCAATCAAAGGTAAAAAGATTTTAAAAATGTCACCATGACAAGCTCAATTGTAGATGGCATCCACAACATTAATTTCTCCTCATTATAATGCAGCATCAAATTCATTGTCGGCAGGAAAACAACCTCCAAATGAATGCATTACGTATTTGAGGTGAAAGTATAAATGTTTCGCTCAGATGTATTTTATTAAAACAAGGCTTTGTGATGAGAGACTATAACCATTCTGAACTCATAACACAAAGATGCTGTATCGCATGATGAAATGATTGCTGATAGCAAAATAATTAGCCTGCTTACAAGGGTTCATCAAATGAATCGCTAATTAAACATCTTGGTTCAAAAGGACTTCCTCCTCATCTGCTTCAGACGCGTTTATAATAAAAGAAGGTTAAACCTGCTCACTAATGTCATGCTAATTAATCACGTGAATTAAACCTGCATCTCCTGTCAAAGCAAAGGTAAAGCTTTACAGGTTATCTAGTTACTGTTTCTATGGGTTTGAAAAAAATATCATTGTTTGCTCATCTAAACTGTTTGCAAATTACATCTTACTTAAATAACATTCTGCATGGATCTACCTAGAAAAATGTTTCTAATGGATCATTTCACATTTATCTATAACACACCCTTCTAGTTCTGCTGTTCTAGAGTCAGATTCTAACCGTTAAATGCTGTATTTGTGACCAATCGGTATTGGACCAAACATATAAATATATTTCATTTCATAAAAGGAAACAAATGCAGTAATGTGTGTCCAACTTTTGAATGGTGCAGGTACTATGCAAAATAGAGATCATGGCACAATGCCCTACTGTGGTGTGATTAATTTGTCGACATCAAATATTCACATAGGACCAATTAGAAGTCTTTGTTTTAGCTAAAATCTTTCACTTCTTAAAGCTGCAGTCCGTAGCTTTTTTTGGGTTAAAAATTATCCAAAATACATATTTGAGAAAATACATAACCAGCCAGTGTTCAAAACTATCTGCTTGCCTTAGCTCGATTCAAAGCGGTCAGCTTGTAATACTGTTTTTAATTCCAGTGGTACTGGTGGATTTCCGCGGGAAATTCGAGCTTGTCTTTGCGTCATTACGTCACATCTGTACACATAAAGAAGGAGTCTCGGGTAGTATAAGCTATATTGCGTGTGAGGATGCTGGAGGTGGAGATTTATAGCCTTTTCTCACTGCACTTGATATAATTAAACTTATCAATTTGATGGCGGATCCAGAAAGGTTCAAATGACAATCACCAGTGACAACAGATTCACCCGCTGTAAAATGCAAAAGACTTCGTTCGGACTTCGGAGTGGCTACAGAAAAAGAGAGACTGCAACCGGACCCATGCGAAAACAAGGATACATATCGGAAGGACATTACATGTAGTCACACAATGCTGACGTTGTTAACATTAACAATTTGAAAACGAAGTATAATTTGCATGGTTTTTCGTGATATGATAACTTATAAGCGGTAAGCGTTAGATTTAATCAGCGCGATTTACTGCAATGTCAGAACCAGAACAAAAGTGGATGTTTCTTACTAGTTCAGATGACATTTTCCGGTGAAAATTATTATGTTGGTCATACTTCCAAAAAGAATAATCTGTGAATGCCAGTATCCACACCGGCACGGTGATTGACAGCTGCACACTCTCCTCAAACATTGTGTTCATCTGCGCTGTGCCGTGTCGAGGGTGTTGAAGTACAACTCACGTAAAGTTGATAATTCCGCGAATGACTGCAATTGCAGATTTCAAACAGAGATGGCGACAAAGAGGAAAAACGCCGGACTGCAGCTTTAATAAACCATCAGGCAACGTCTACTGTATTACATCTACCCAAACAAAAATGTAGGAGCTGTGACAAACCTGATCATTTGAAATCAGAATAATATGAAAGCTGCTCCTATCCCTCAGTGATTACAGCCTAAAACACATCAGGCCAATACTCGCTTTAATTGGATTTTGCAGACACATCAAACTCTATTCAATTCCATTTATGTCCAAGAAAACAGTATCCCTGGGTTTTTATCTCACAGAAACAGATATGTGCTCTCTATTCTGTGAGCGAAGGCTCAGAAAAGCTTGAAGAATATTAAAACATCTGAAGCGTTCAGTAGTTTGCTCCATGAAGTGAAGGGGGAAAAAAAGTGAAACTTATACATTTTCTATTAGGTTACACAAGATTAGAAAACATACAGCAGTATGATTACAAAATCAGCTAAAGCTTTCATGCTGAAATTGTCTACAACTACACATCACATTAACACAGAAGAAGCAGCATTCCAGCCATTTAGGAAGCTTTTATGATTTCTGGTGGGAATCTCTAGTTCATGATATGACAACATGTTGTTAAGATACAATTTTGCACTTGTTTTTGTAATAAATTATACAATAAATAATTGTTGTACAAAATTTCCTTATTTTGCATAGTTTTTATTGTAAAAACCTATTCATGCTTTAAAAATACAAATTTGTCATTCTAATAAAATACACACACACAAAAAATTTTGTGATTCTTTCTGCAGGTTACCTTGTTACACCAATAGGTGGCGACAAATGACTGCCTTTATGAAAGAGTCACTGACTGAATCATTAAAACGATCATTTCAAAACCAGTAATTCATTCAGTAAGAAAACAGGTCCTTCATTCAACCGAACTGATTTGCTCAAGCACGCCAATTCATAGGAACAAAAAATAAGGACAAAAAAACCCACAAAGTAACTGGTATTAAATTAAGTTACTAAATATTAACGTCTTATTAAACTATTGTATAAAAGCAATAATCACACTTTCAGTCTTTCTCTATTATGATGTATAAAGGCGGAGCAAGTTACATTTTGACAAGATAGTGAAGACAAACCTTCTTTAAATAATGTGCCTTGTTGTAAAATAAAACTAGAAATATGTATTTAGAAAATAATACAATAAAAATGTACTTCATAATTAAAATAAAA